GGGGGTATAGCCTCCGTGAATTTGGCGACAAGCGAAAGGCGATCACCCTCCTGCAAGTCGAAGGGGCTTTCAAGGGCTCCAGCCAGCGTTGGTGCCGTCTGCTGAGGCGACATTTCGCGAACCTCTGAGGTGATACGTTCCGCTCGTCGACTGCTGTAGTACGATCTTGTGATGGTTGTGCTGCCAGAAACGGAAGTCTCGCGCCAGGAATTAGTTTCGCTGAGCATTGTCGGTTGTTGGCTGCTTGATCGCATTCCACGGAGATTAGCAGTTGCAGCAAGAAGCTTTTTCACACGGTTGGCTTTAATGATGAGGAAGGTCACGAAGTAAGCACAAAGGCGTGTGCAAATAGAACCTTAAAGTGTGTTTTCCGAGAGACAGTAAACTTGCTTACAGGGGAAATGCGAAAAGTTTAAATTGGCCTTCGCTATATTATGCTCCTACAACTTTCCGCATACAATTAGGATAGCATACTAGGATAAAAAATATTCAAAAGCTACAAGAAATTTGTGAAAAGCTGCATTAGTTCTAATCACAAAAAGGACCAGAGAATATGAGCGAGTTCTATAAACGACATAAAAACACAGGAAGAAGTAAAGCACGGGAAACTACGGTAGTGAGCAGGGAGACGTAGCATGCTAATTTTTGTTCCCTAGGCTTTGGCTGACATCTTCTTGGTTATAACTACTCATAAGTGTGTCCTTTAGCGTAGCTTTGGCTGTATTGAAACCTGGGTAAGGGTTCCCTATAAACAAGACCGTAAGTAGCTAAACTGAAAACAAGCTTAAAACGAAACTAATAAAACCAGATAATAAACTAAAACAAAACTAAAAGAAAAATAAAGCTAAACCAAACTAACTAAAATAAACTAAGCTACAAGTAATAAAACAAAATAATAAACTAATAACTGACCTAAACTAAATAATAAACTACAAAGAAATTAGTAGTCCATTATGTTATAGTAAAATACGGTGTTGCTTATAAGGAACCCTTATCGAAACTCGGTCTGGTAATAGAACGAGCTTCTGAAGGTTTTACACACAAACTGTTCCCCAAATTGCTGAAGCAACAGGTCCGAAAGACTTACGCTCAACGACCAATTTGCAGCCAGTCTCATCCTCGCCACGGCTGTTGGTTGCTTTACAGGTATACTTGCCCGAGTGCCGCTCTGAACAGCTGTAAATCTCAAGCGAGCTGATGCCCAACATCGTTTGTACGGTGTAGTCTGGGGTGTCGCGACCAATCTCGCGTCCGTCCTGGTGAATTTTATGGCAACAGAGAAAAAGTAAGAACATAGGTTTATTCACCCTTAAAGATACGCACAGATGATCTCAAGTCATGGCCTGCAAATATTACTGAACATACGCTTTTATGCCTGCTACTGGCTGCCACAGTTTCCGCAACTGCTTCTTAGGTACGCAACTGGAAGCGACCACGACTTCGAGTGCGATTTTCAGACTTCTGACAACTTAGTATAGAGAGTGGTAATTCTCGTGGCCACCTGCAGCATAATATGAAGACACACAAAACGTCACAAATCGTCTACATTTTCAAACTAGTTGACCATGCTGAGGCTGGGTTATTTGGTTTCTCATGGATCGCAATCGCCCTCGGCGGACTTTGACAGTAACCTGCTTCTTCTTTCTTCTCTCAGCTCCAGTGAAGAAACTTTGATAATTAGTGTCCCGCCCTTATCTTGCCTACTCCTCTTATGGAAGAATGAATTTTGACGAGCTTTTGTAAGATCCTGAGTCAATTAAGAGCCTCCAGAGCATTTCTTGCTTCTTTGCTGAGAGCCAACTTATGAGGCATGTGAAATTTCAGTTGCTCGCCAATATTGCAGCTATTTTCCATTAGGTTCCTATTCTACTACCTGGACGCACGACAACTACTATACTTAATTCAACAGTCACAGCCGTAAGGCTGATTTCTCGTAAAGCGCTTTCAGCAATTCCTTTTGCCTGTTATTTATATCTTTTGGATATATTAGACTGGTCATTCCCTTCACGACTGAAGGTATGCGTATTTGCCGTGACTCATTTATCTACCTCAAATGCAAATTCATTCGCTGACTGACTTTATGTTCATCGGCCTGCTCGGCACATGGGAGGGCAAGCACAAACTCTCCTGATCATGCAAGCTACACTCCTGTCTATAGGTGTCGGCAGTGGCGTCCATCTACAAACTCTCCCGTGAACACCATAATCATGAGGGCCTGGATACAGGCTTTTGAGTAGTCATTTAATCGTGTTCTTGCCCGAGGGGTGTGATAGAAGGGAAGACAAAGCCGGCTTCTGAAATATTCTCTAAGCTAGGCTTGCAGAAACAGTGGATTCCTCTGACGCGTCGACTCTCTCGCATTTATTCCTTGGACTTCTGGTCGTTCTCGAACATTCCGCGGCCAATCGCGTGCCAATCGCGTGCCAAGCGCGGAGCGCGTCCTGGAACATTCTGGCACGTTGGGTGGTCGTTTCCCACACTGGAATTCTCTCGCGGAAACTTCTCGAATATTTGGGTCGCATGCCTGAGCAAAAGTTTCAAGTGTACTGGATGCAGCACTACACTCTGATTGGTGGTGTATATTTGCGCACGTGGTCACTTGTTCTTAGGCCGCGATTGCATCGTGGTTCCCGTCCCTGTAACAAGTCGCATGGCCCCACTCCTCCTATTGTTTCCACTAGTCACGAACTCTAGCCCTTGCTTGCTG